ACATAGTCCTATCTCCCAGTGTTTTAAAATTTTATCTTTGAATTTGGCCCTGCCCAGTGTGATTATTTGTGTTTTAATGTTTTAGTTTATATTGCTGTGTCGCTTATGTATATTGGTTTTGCATCTTATGTTATTTTATTTTCTGATTTTCTGTTGTGTTTTTGTATTATAGTGTGTTTACTGTATTGATGGGCGTGGCCTCATGTAAGCCTCCCCGAGTCCCCTTGGGAAGATGGAGGTGGGGTATAAATAACGTTTTTTTATTATAACATTATTAAATAAATAAATAACCACATGTAGTTCTAGTAAGGTTTGATTGGTAACATATGAATAGAAGAAAATGAGAAACGATGTTATTATTACATATGATTATATTACTTGCCAAATTATTTCTCCTAGTATAGATCTTGTAGGGTCTAATCACTTTGAATATGATTTTCCTGCTTCTTGGCAGGGGAGTGGCCCATGTAGTCTCTTCCAATTCTGTGATTCCATGAGGTCTTGGTTATCCTGGTTGTGAAGGCATGGAGTGGACTTGGGAGTGGTCTCTTCCTTATATAACATGTCTACAACTTCTGATGTATGGAACACATAAATCATAGAGAGGGAATAAAATTAGTAATCCAGACTGGAGGGTCCAGGACTGGGTAATAACATGAATACAAACTGTCCCTCTGTGATCATTTGTGCATACAGGTATTACAGGAGCTGTACAAACAGTTCCAATGGCAAACATATGGAAAAAGATAGAAACCTTGTCTGTGCATGAAAGCAGTGGACTTCCCTTGGTGTGCCTGTGATACAAGATGGTCACATGTTGCAGCAAGTCCATTTTTATTCCCACTGGTGTCCAGGTGGGGCCAAAAGCATTAAAATCACCTGCACACTTGAGGGCCTTTAGGAGAACTGTGGATTTTCTGTGTATTATGGCTGTTGGTTGCATAAGCTCATTTGTTCTCTTACCTGTCTTTTCTGGAGGGTGCTGTGGAACCTGGTATTGCTTTCCTCCTTCCACTCATCCAAATCCCTCTGAGTTACCTTTTCCACATGACTGTTCCATGTTTCATAAGGAGTGAACAGGATGAAGGAGCATCTATGTTCCTTTTGCCAGACACAAAAATAGAATAGAATTCTTGTTTTCTTTAATGTTCTTGAATACATTGATTTGCTGAAATTTCCAGAGGACTTGATTCAATCTTAGCACTTATATAATCATTCTGGCTACATAAACTTCAGGCACTTGAGCAAACCAGCCTCCTTCCCATGAAGTACAGAATAGCCATGTTGTGGTGTGTGTGTGTGTGTGTGTGTCATATGGCATAATCTGGCAAAGGTCCACATGTAGAACAACTATGCTATACTGAACAATGTAGGATTACAGCCTAGATTTTTCAAACCCATTAAATCTTCTCAAAGTCTAAAAAAAAAACTAGCTGTATCACTTTTGAGTTTTTTGTAATTTCTGGGTATTTCAGATAGCGGTACAACCCTTGCCAGGTGCTAGAGCCCATCCTGGCTTTTTGGCATGTGAGCAACTCTCAGTATTTTCCCCATGCACTCTGAGGTTAAGAAGAAAAATTATTTTGAGTTGAAGGAAGGAAGGATTTAAGGAATTTGAAGATGGCTTAGCTGTGGCTTGTGCTATCTTTTGCTGATAATGTGTGAGAGATAAGGAGAAATAAAGGGGCCTATCTTTTTGCTTCTGCTGTTCTGCATGGAGATCACTGTGTGCAAGAGAACTAAGGAAAACAAGAATTCTGTGTTTAGTGTTCAACTTGGTGCTGCTTTCTGAAAACAGTGAAACGACCTCACAGAAAGAGCAGTGAACTAATCAGATCAAGTGATTGCTAAGTCTGCTGTGGAATGCCTCACAAAATCGGAGGAATGTGGTGCTAATGTGATAGCTTGTGTTACAAGCAAAGCAATGGCTACTCAGGCCATTGAGTGTGTTACAGCCTAGTGCAAATAATTCCTTTGCCACAGAGATGGGGAGGATTTATTAGTAGGGTTACTTAAAATTGAAATTTTACTCTTTTAGGGATTACTTCTTAGGAAGCTGAAGGACCCAGCTTTGTACTAAACAAAATGTTTATTTTCCCCATTATTTGTCTAAGTTGACTTTGAAATGAAGGTGGTGGGGGAAAAGCAAGTTTTCAGGCTATGCTGGATCAAGATGGAAGAAGCTTCAGCAAAATGCCCATGTGGCTTCTCATCTTCCCCTCTTATTCATTTTGATATGAATTTACCTGACAAATAGTCAGGTGGCACCCCTAGCAGCTGACTTTAGTTGTTGGTACCATAACATCATACTCCTCATCTAGAAGCTGAATGAGCAAACATGGAGAGACACAGAGAGTGGAGAACAATTTATTTATATCCCATCTTTTAACAAAAATGACTTCCAAATATGCTTACATGATACCTACCTCATCACATGGAGCCCCCCCCCCCCCCAAAAAAAATAGGACACTTCATATCCATTTCAAGGACAAAGAGGCATGGAGTCCATTTTTTCCCTTTTTAATGTCACTTTGATGATGATGTTGTTGTTTGTTGTATATGTTTTGATTTTATTGCTGTATTATGTTGTCCAGGCTTGGCCCCATGTAAGCCGCTCCGAGTTCCCATTGGGGAGATGGTGGCGGGGTAGAAATAAAGATTATTATTATTATTATTATTATTATTATTATTATTATTATATGACATATTCCTACTTCTGGCTGTCATCCATTGCCCTTCATCCTTGAAATGGAAATGAAATGTGATGAAAGGAGGAAGCTCAGGACATGGTTTAGCAATCATGTTCTTAGTTCCTGGTGTATGCCAGAATCACTGTTAATGCTAAAAAAAAACATGTGATGGGATCTGACAGACCCATGTTAAATTGTGTCAGTGATGTGGAAAAATGGGCGTTCCTCACCACTTTTTCACTACATTTTCTCCTTAATAGTTAATTGGGTACAAAATTGTGTTTCTTCTAGATTTATAATATAACTGTGGTCTAATGGAGGGAAGGAAAGCCTAGCAGGAGGGGATCATGGCAAATGGATTTAAAATTATGCTGATATAATGAAGGGAAGCACAAGAGAGGATTGTGACAAAGTGGTTTATAATTGCACTGTTAAAATGGAAGGAAGGAAGGCATAGGAAAAACTTACCATGGCAAAGGGGTTTAAAATTCCCCTTCTTTCCCCTGCAAATAGGATGAGATCCATAGTAAATATGAGCAACAATGGGAAAAAAACTGAATAAGGAAACACATGTGATGGGAAGACAGAACTGGAAATGGGACGATTGGGGATCGAAAGGTATGATTCGGTTCACTAGACAGATGATCCCTCATGCTTCTCAAGGTCAATGTGATGGGATCCCTAGTATATAGTCACTGCCATCATGTTAATCTGAAGTAGCTACATCATTTATATGACACAGGTACATGAAGGCATTGCTCTCAAAGTAAAAATTCTTCCCCTCCTCATGGAATGTAATTTCAAATTTTCAATGCTTAGGTTTACAATTGCTTAATATTTCAGTTGAGTATTTAGAATTAGAGTTTAGGCATCCTAATAAAAAGGGCAAGCAAAGTTTCCAAGGGAATGCAAACACAGTTCTGGGTGGAAATGACTGTCAATGTCTCAATCTCTGCAATGAGTCTTTTAAAAGAAAAAAAAATCTATCTCTAGTTGTGATCTTTGCAAATCAGCTGGAAATGATACAAAATGAGAGCCTTTAAGAATATTTAAATAATAATAATAAATCTTTATTTGTATTCCATCCTATTTCCCCGAGGCGAGATGTCACAGAAATTTTGTGTCCTGTGTATGGTATTTGCTGGACAAAGCAAACATTTTCCGGGTTTTCATGTTCAAAACAATTGTTCCTCTTCTTACTGTGCTAAAGTAACAGTAGCTGTACTTCAATAAGCCAATAAACCCATTCCAGGCATCCAAAATTATGTTGAATGTATGTTTAATTAACAGGATACATTGAAGCAGTTCCTTGTTAACACCAGTTCCCCTACCCTAAATGGCAAATCTTCTTTTAATCCAACTTCAAATATCTGTTTGAGATCTGCAATTAGATGCCTTTTGTTCAAAGAGAGAGAGAGAAAAAAAACCAAGTCCCTACCAAGTACCCTTGGGTATGCCTCAAGTTGCTTTTTGGAGCCAGGCCAATAGGATTTATTTGCACCTAAGAGAGCTAGATGACATCATTATTAAGCTGTGTGAGAAATAATTGAGTTTAACTGAGAATGGAAATATCCAATATTCTTATCAGCCCTTAAGTAGTAGTATTATATTGGAGATAATATGTTGCCAAAAATTAGGGAAATGTCTATTGCCTTATAGGCATAGAGGAATTAGGCACATTTTTCTAATCTTTTAAAGATATGAGTAAAAAGGGAGAGGTAAGTATGATGGTGTAGCTACAATTCACCTGCTGGTTCAGTCAAAACCCATCCTGTGGCTGGCATTTAAATTTTGATAGACAGAGGTGTGCTAATAGTGATATGCAATTATTTGCAGAAACATGCATTGTTCTTTTAAAAAGGCAATTGCTCACCAGTAAGATGGAAACAAGAAGCATTTCATAGGTAAAAGATCAGGAGACCGCACATCTGTCTGTGCCACCTATTGCCAACTAAATAGCAAAGTCAAGATGGATTGGTGTTAAGCAAATGTGCCTGTTCAGAGCACTACACAACTGGGCATTGCTACCCAGAAATACATTTCTGTATCTGTTACCATTGTCTTATTGTAAAAGATGTGGTACCTAAATTTCAGCCCCCTGACACAGAACAGAAAGGAAATACGGTGAACACTGATAGTCTCAGAGGATTCTCTTGATAGATTTCCCTCCTAATGCTATTCTGCTCACATCCCCCCCCCCCCCCCCCCCCCCCCCCCCGGTTATCTGCATACAGCTACCAGACTGCCACGGTGGGAAGCAAATGAAAAGACACTCTGAGAACAATATCAGGCAAACATAATATGTAAATATGGGGTAAAACTGCCAAAACTTTATTTCACTATCCTGTGGTAAGGAAGAATGTTAAGAGTTGAGGTGAAAGCTCGTATATCTCTAATCGCAGGGAGATTCAGTCGAGGAGAAGAGGGTAAAAATGTTAGTTCAGGTGTTTTGCCAAATAAAGAGTCTTTAGCAGTGGAGGCATGTGGAGTTTCTACATCTCCTTCCTGTTTACCATATCCAACCACCTGAAAATCCAAAAGGGCAATCCATTATTCAAGAAGTCAGCCAATACCTAGATTCTAAAGATTTAAACAAACTGATTTCCTTGAGACACCCACCATCATTTTAGTTATGACTTTTCTGTCTAAGTTCCTATCAACAGCTGATATTTGAGAATGGAGCGAAAACATTTCTCGGCATCATAAATGGTCCATAGCAAATAGGTGATTATTTTAATGATGTACAAATGGAATCAACATAGACACAAACATAGAAAAAGGAGTCAATTTAGATATAATATATAATAAAAAAATAATCAATAAAAAGTAAATGGGAAAGAGAAAAAAAGCCATAAACTTATATATAGGTGTGCTCAGACCCTCCAGTTCTTACTGTTTCCAGCAGAAAAATACAAAGGGGAAAATGGTGTTCTTTGATTACAGATACTACATAATAATAATTGCTAACAACCATAGTCACATATTTTACATTGTTAGATTTCTTATTGCTCAAAAAAATAATAATCCAGAAATAGTTTCTAATCTTTCAAAAAAAATTAATTGGCTTATCTGTTAGAACTCATGTTAATTTGGCCACTTGATTTAACCCAGTTTAATAATTCTTTCATCCATTTTAAGTACTCAATTCCGTTTCCAAATTTGAGCAAACAATATTCTTGCTGCTGTCTTATATCAAAGAAGCAATAACTCTGAATAAAACACATTTTGTTTAAGCTGTATGGTTATATTTCTTGCTGAAATTAAATTTATATTTAAAAACATCTAAAGAAAACATTTAAGATTTTTACCTTCATTAAAAGTAATCTCTTTTTAAAATAATTTTTCTGGTATCTCTTTCAAAATACAAAAGCTCAACATAGACCAACCATCTCCATTTTTAACAAATAATTTCCTTTTAAAAAGTTTCTTCAGATGAAGTAAAGGAAAGGAAAGGAAACACTTATTGCAGAGTTTTTCTAATATAAAGATTTTAAAATTCAACATGTACCAGAACATTATCATACCAAGACCATGCCAACCAAATCTTAAGTAACAATAAACCACAGTGTAGCTTTCACCTATTTAGGATCCTGGTTCTGTGATTCCATGTTTCCTCTAGCAACTAGGCTGGCAGGGTGAAGTTTCTGGCTGATACCTCACTCACTCCGGTAAATGCAGGTCATGCCAACCCAATGTTTCTTAACTGTAATTAATAATCATGTGGCTTGCTTATTCCAAGTTGGTGCCCTCAGCTCTCTTTTGTGGTTGAGCTGATATCTCAGATAATGCAAATATAAAAATGTGGATGCAAATAATTTCTCCTCCTCCTCCATCCCTAACATACCTATGAGAGAGGGAATGTTAATTTTGTATTTACTCACATGAGTGCTTAAGACCCGTTTGTGCTTGCCCCTGTGCATTAAGAACCAGTTCAGCAAATGTGCTCTGGTAAAGCTTTTCAGTGCTACAATCTATAAGCAACAGGGGAGAAAAAAAGAAATATAATAAATATAATAACAACAACAATTTTATTTATATTCTGCCAGCACCTCCCAAAAGGGACTCTGGGTGGCTTCCAAAGAAATGCCAACAATATGAACACTGTGGTATAAATCCATTGATCTTTCACATACTATTCTTGTTCTTTAGTGCATAAGAACAACAAAAAAGTTTTGAATAACCAACAGTAATAATCAAAATACAATCCATATATTCTGTGGGTAAAAGAATGCTAAAAAGTGTCACTACCATTGCCCCCCCCCCTTCGTATGGGTTACTACGGGGGGGGGGTATTCTACCCTCACAGAGATCTAAGGCTAGCAGTGTGTGCTGACAAGATGCTGTGAATTCCATTGGCATGTATAGACTTTATATAGAGGTGTTGGCAAAGATCAACATCTATTGTGTTCAGTCCAATGCACAGACATTTCGTCTACACCAGTAGTAGTAATTGTTGTTTCCCTAATGGGAATTAAATTCCCCAGATTACTGTTATAGGGATTCTTATTTTGTGATCCTTCCATGGTAACAATTTCTGTAGGCTTGTGCACCTGCCATGTTGTCTAACCCTACTGATGAGCGCAGTTACAGACCCAGTTATTTGACACTTCTTTCACAAATGACAATTTTTGATATTTAACAAAAATTGGTGAATAGAGGGACGAATGCAGCTTCCAGCATCAGATCAATATCCCTGATCTGAGGAAAAGAATAGACATACTTGAGGCATTCCTACAACTCTGATGTAAAATAAAATCTGACACATTTAAGGAATTTTCTTTAGCAACCACAATGTGAGATGCTGAAGACTTCAGTTACAGTTGCCTCACCCATGATTTCCACTCACAGGGAAAGCAAATGCTTCATTTTCATCACAGATTGCTGAGTGTTCATTTTTATGAAAAAAATTTGATTCAGAAAGTTTAACATGTTTTATTATGTCTTCACCATGTAGAAAATCACTTACCGCAGAACACTGAAATCTAAGTCAGCTCAGTCTCATGATGGCAATAGACAAAATGGGCTTGAGCCACCACTTTCCATTTTACATGGTTTGTGGACCAGCACCAGTCAAATAATGATTAAAGTATAACTATAAGACATTTCTGCATTTAGTGTGAATCAGATGCAATACAAATTATCACGTGAATAGAATGTGTAGCATTTTTACCTCTCGGGCCAGTCTGTCAAACAAATACTGTCGAGTAACCACTTCGTTCCAGTTCCTGTCCACTTCTTCACCAAGATGGGAGTCATCCGTTTGTTTAAGCTTTATTAGAGCTGAAGTCTGTAATGCACATTGTTTCTTTATTGCTCTCATAGGAAACTCATGGGTTAATAAGAAAATATTATATTAAGAGCATATATCTTGAAAATAAAGTTAATGTGTTGCTACCTAACCTACATTCTGCAGAATCTATTTTATGTCTTTTCTTTTGTTAAAAAATAGAATCCAGAGATCCTAATAGTGATGCGACCAGGTGACCCAACATAGTTTTATGTTAAGCAAGTGGCTTCACAACCAGTAATAAGAGTTGGGTTGCCTCTTTGCACATAGCAGTTACACAACTAGTGGCACAACTGTCAGTTTTAAAAGGGTATTTAGAATGATCAGCTAGTGAGCTGGAGTGTCTTTGTAAACTGCCCTCGAAACAACCTTAACTTATGGTCACCCATGAATAAGAGATCTCCAAGACCACGTATCCTCAACAGATCTTGCAAACTCAGGATCATGACTTCTTTGATTGAGTGTATCCATCTAGAATATGGACTTCCTCTTTTCATATCACCTTCTGCTTTATTAAACATTATGTCTTTTCTACTGAGTAATGTTTTTCATATTATATGGCCAGAGCAGTTTAGTCATCTTGGCCTCTAGGAAGAGTTCAGGTTTGAATTGCTGTAGGATCCATTTATTGATTTTTTTTAATCATCCAAGGTATCAGTGGACTCTTCAACAGCATTTTTCAACTTAGTTGATTTTCTTCCTATCCGCTTTCTTCAGTGTCCAGTTTTCCCAACCATACATAGGAATGGGAAATACAACAGCCTATATTTAGTATCCATCTCTATACACCACAGGATCTTGACTACTAGTTTTGCTGCAGCTACTTCTCCAATTCTTATTGTTCTGATTACTTGACTGCAATCTCTAGTCTAATTAATGTTTGAGCCAAGGTATGGAAATTCTCAATTTTTCTTATCTATCTACAAACCCCATTATTATACAAAATGCAATATGTCAGCTAAAACGGATTCATAGCCCTGCAATTCTATAGTGTAAAAGGACTCTAGTTGCACAAGCACTAGAGCACCTAAGGATTGCAAGAACAAATATCCTACTACTTCAACAACTGGGAAGGAGCTCCCGATGGTGCAATTGGTTAAACCCTTGTGCTGGCAGGACCGCTGACTGAAAGGTCAATGGTTGAGAGTCTGGGAAGAAGGTTTGGCTCCCATCTCTTGGCTCCAGCTTCTCATACAGGGGCATGAGAGAAGTCTCCCACAGGATGGGAAAACATCTGGGCATCCCATGGGCAATGTCCTGGCAGATGGCCAATTCTCTCACAGCAGAAGCCACTTGCAGTTTCTCAAGTTGCTCCTGACATGAAAAAAAAGACCAGTTGGCATGGATTTGAATCTCTGGTGCTTGGCTAGCAGTATAGCTGGAATGGAGGTCCAGCTGCTCTCACAAGAAATTGCCCTACTAAAGAGATATAACTAATCACAACATCAGAATTGCAATCACACAGAGAAGAATGGATTCTCTAATGAGAAGAGACATAATCACTTCTTGCATACAGATAGTGCCTGCCAGTCAAAGCAGATGATATTGAGTTATTTGAAAAATGGATTGTTCTGAAATTAGGCAGTGTCCATTATTACTAAGCAATAAAGCTTGAGTCACAGGAACACACCATTAGGTGGGAAACAGCTGATTCTGAATGGTTAATGATAATGACCTCCATCAGCTTCATCTTAATTTAGTGCCCCATGTAAACAAGTCATTGTTCTTGCCTGAGCAAGGAATTCTTCTTCAGATAAGTTTCGGAGTTTTTCCTCAAAGAGTACCATAAATTCTTCTATTTTTCTATCGACCAATTCAGTGCTAAAAGAATCAAAAGCATAAACAAATTGTTTAGTATTTATTAAGATAGAAGGAAAATACGGTGTCGTGTTTTAAGTGATCAACTGGTACACCAAAAAACAGGATTTGAATCCACATTCAGCCATGGAAATGTACTAGTGATCTTGGGCAAATGAAACTCCACCATAAATCACCATGAGACAATGTAAATACTCTTTCCAGGATGCATCCCCTGGCTTTCACTTCAAAAAACCCCAGTGGAAAGCAGTGGTCTCTGGACCTGGTAGCCACATATGCCTTTCTATAAGGCCCCTTTTACACTGCCATATAAAATCCAGGTTATCTGCTTTGAAATGGATTATACAGCAATGAAGATTCATATAATTGAGTTCAAAACAGATAATGTGGATTATCGGCTTTGATAATTTGAATAATTTGGCAGTGTAGAAGGGGTTTCAGAAGCCCTCGGATCATGGTGTTGGGTGATTGTGGTCAAATGGACTCTTTGCTTACCTGCTGCCATGAAAAAGAGAAAGAGAGAGACATCCACAGAGCCATTTAGTGCTTAACCCTGAAGATCTCACATCATGAAATTTTAGTCATCTTTTCAGGGAATCACATAGGCCCCTTCTATGTAGCCATATAAAATCCAGTTTATCTGCTTTGAACTGTATGATATGACAGTTTAGATTTACACAACCCAGTTCAAAGCAGACAATGTTGATTAATTTCTTTGATAATCTGGATTATATGGCAGTGTAGAAGGACCCTTACTCACCTTCGTATTGAGGCAAAATCATTCCAAAAACCCTGCCAGTCCAGCTCTCTAAAGAGCCGAATAGACTTCATACCTTGTTTGAAAAAGGCTGTTCTAAAGCCCCTTCTACACTGCCATATAATCCATTTCAAAGCAGATAAACTGGATTTTATATGGCTACATAGAAGAGGCCTATATGGCAGTGTTAACGGGGGCCTTATGGCCCTTCCACACAGCCATATAACCCTGAATATCAAGGAAGATAATCCACAATATCAGCTTTGAACTGGATTATCTGAGTTCACACTGCCATATAATCCAGTTCAATGTGGATTTTATACAGCTATGAGGAAGGGACCTAAACTGGATTATATGGCAGTGTGGACTCAGAGAACCCAGTTCAAAGCAAATATTGTGGATTATCTGCCTTGATAATCTGGGTAATATGGCTGCGTGGATGGGCCCTTGGATAGATTAGAATTGTTCCAACAAAATCAATGGGCTTTAAGGAAACCATGTTCAGAAATTGGAATGTTAAGAAGAAGGTCGGCAAGCTGATGTTGATGTTGATTGAATAATGTTTGTTACCAACAATTGCTTTAGTGCACACTATAAAATTAATTTATGTGAGTTATTAGTTACTCACAAGTGATGAAGTATTTTAAAAATAATGCAATCAATTAAAATCACTGAAATGGTCTCCCAAAATAAAACAGTTAAAATAAAGTGAAATATGAATTGCTATTCAATATGTTAATGCCATTTGAAACAACATCATCCCTAAAGCTCAGCATTAAAAATGACAATAAATTATGGATAATAAATAAATGTAAATTAATTAATTCCAAACTCTGGATTTAGGAGTATCTTGTCCCACTGAGTTCAATGGGTCTAGTCTAGGTATATCTAATTCTGAATCCAATCTATTGTTTGATTTCAGTGGAGCTTGAATTCATATTATCTCTGTAGCCTCTGGTTCTTGTTGCTGGTGGTAACTTGTCTGAAATGCTACTGCTTGTGACTTTTACCAAAGTATGCTGTAGGACCCTATATCCCAGGATCTGATCCCAGGTTTTCTGTTTAACCCAGATTATCTGACAGTGCAGACTCATATAATCCAGTTTAAAGCAGAAAACCTGGGGTCAGATCCTGGGATATAGGGTCTGTCTGGAAGGGCCCGTAAACTATAACCCTTTGCATTCATTCTGAAGATGTGCTAAAATACCCTGTTCAGTTTTAATGATCTAATTTTTTAAAAATTATGTCTGTCAAAATTCTTCAAATGCTTTCTTCACTTTCTGAAGAACTCATTTTCCACTCATAAAACATCTCATGGAAAGGGAAATGTCCTAATGTACAAGACTTCTCTACAAGATGTGATACACAAATGTATACAAATGGCAGAATTTTGATTTGGATCAGAGTCATTGCCATGAGGATGTGAACATCTGTTGTTTGTGGCTGTTGGCTTCCATGTATTTTGGTTGTGATCTTGAATAGCTTCTTGAAAGTTCAACCGAAAACCCAGTTCAATCAAAAGACACCATTCATTTGAATAAATTTATCATTCCAAGGGGAGGACAGATGGAAACTTCAGGAACCTATGGCATGTTTTAATTTCTCTTAAGGAAGTTGGGAAAAACTTTCTTTTTTTTTTTTAGGGATGGCAAATCTAACTCCTTGGGGTAAAAATAGGTGAATCCAAGTGTTTCTGGTTAGGGATGATGTCCAGTATGGAAAAAAAACCCCAGTATTTTTGAATTGCTTTATGAAACAATGTGACTGAAACTTTTAAATTAATCTGTTGGAAATGGTCCGGGCTTTAGTACAGCAGGTCAGTTGCTGTAAATCTTGCTAATAGAAGATTGGCAGTGTGAAGCCCGGGTCAGGATAAGCTCCTGGCCTTCAGCCCAGCTCCTTCCAACCTAGCAGATCAAAAACAGCAATTGTGATTAGATAAATAGGTACCACTTTGAAAAAAGTGGGAGGTATTTAGGCACCCATAAGGAAATGCCAGAAAATGCCAGCAATTCGACCAAGAGAGGAAGTTTATGAACAAAAGCCCTTCGGCAGGGAAGATGGGGCGACAGCACCCCCCCCTCCCCACCCCCATGGCAGGAACTGAGCACAGCCTCTAAGATGCCAAAGATGGGGAAAAGCCTATCTATACTTCTATCTATGTATAGTTGTATGTCTTATCTTTGTATAATGGCACTGAATGTTTGCCCTATGTGTGTTCTGTGGTCCGCCCTGAGTTCCCTTTGGGATGAGAAGAGTAGAATATAAATACTGTAAATAAATAAATAAATAAACCATTCTACATATTTTATTGTACAAATTCCCAGCAGTTCAAGCATAGCACATATAGATTCAGAATAGTGTTTTGAAAGAAAATGTACATTATGTTAAGAAGAATTAGAATTTAGAAATGCAAAAGTAATAGAAACCTGAAGCAAATCAATATGTTTAAAATTTTATTCAACTTTTATTAGTTTTTGCATGGCTTTACCTGGTAGCCTACTCCAGTTCTACATTAATTCATATTCTCTTCAATGCCCACATTAGTTACACATTTTAAAAATCCACTTGAAACAATCTTTGAAAGCTCCTTACATTTCAAAATGTGTATTTATAGTGAAACTGCTGAGAATTGCATCACAAATACAGAGAGATGTGTGAAACCTAGCACACTGCTGAGATCAATTCTTTGTTGTTTGGTGCATTCAAGTCAGTTTAGACTTACGGTGACCTTAAGGTGAACCTTGTGCTTGTATGCCTTCAAGTCTTTTCTGACTTATCGCAACCCTAACATTGTACTTTCTTGACAAGATTTGTTCAGAGGAGGTTTTCCATTTCCTTTCTCTGAGGATGAAAGAATATGAACTTTCTGAAGTGTACTGGTCTCAAATCAGTGCACCACAGTGGCTCTTGTGATTTCATATAAAAGTTTGCAAATACACATTCTCAGGCATCCCATCCCAGCAAAGAAGCAAAGATGTTGCTAGGCCTGGAAATCAGGATTTGACAGGCTTTATGGACTCTACATGTATGATAAACAGTAATATTTATCTGGAATGCATGATATGCAATTAAAATAACATTTTAGAGCTGGCTAATTAAGATAAGAGTTTCTCAAATCAACAATAAAGAATCGATTTGTTGCTTGAAAAATTACCTTAAAGACCCCGAATGACTATAAAGATGTTCAGGTTCTTTATATTCCCAACAGTTTTTGTGAGCAAGATGTTTAATTATAAACCCACACTATTCACATTGGTTCAGTTATAATTGACTAATTATGACAAATACCCAATTAAGGCATAAAGGCAAAGAATCATTCTGACAATATATATAAAAGACATGGATTTTGGAGCTGACTGTGCTAAATAGGTAAAAATTAAAGCAGAGGTTTTAGAAGGTTATGGAATATTGACAGGAGCTGGCAAACAAGCAAAAATGTGAATTATCCAAGCTTTTTGTTACATGAGCAGCACTTGGTTCTTTGTGAACTCAGGCTGTAACAAGGCTATATAAAGACATTAAAGATCAAAGCACTTCCCCTCTTGCTGATTCCATATAGTTTGGTGCTTTGTTCTGATACCAGAATGGGGAACTTCATAATTGGGGCTCCAGGGAGGTCTATTGTCAGGAATAGAGCAGTAGTAGCCCCAAGGAGGAACCAACAGTTTCTTTCACAATTTTCAGTAGTTAACACTACATAAGAATGTCAATTGTCTATTGCCACTCTGTCCCTGTTCCTCTTCCCCAAGAATCCAGCCCAATTCAAGATGTTCCACATGTCACAAACACTGGATTTTATAGAAAAATCTAGAGCAATTGGTGAGTTTTATTAAAGAAACAGTTACACAATGGAAATGTCCGTATACTGTGTGTGCTTGACACATAGGATTCAAAGTGGGCATGCTTTTCTTCCATATGTGGACAACTCTTTTGTTTGATTCTGAGAAACACTGGTTGAACTGGTATCTGAATGGATTAGAAACCCAGGATGATCATAATATCTTTGTCTGGATCATGTCACACACAAGTCTCTTATATGCCACACAATGCACATAGGAATGTTTACACACTGAGGAATATAAGTTTCTCACTCACTTTGAAACAGCAACAAAAATATTAATAATGGAGAATTATGGGAAATATGATTCTTCATTACATTATACATTCTAAACCTGTCACGTATTAATTTCCCAAGAAACAAAAGGGCCTGAACTATAAAGACTCGAAGAGTTCAGAAAGTCCTACGATGGAAACAATTGTATTAAATGCAATTGCTCTTTTGAAAATAATTAACAGAATACTTACTTATATTTGGTTGCTTGTGTTGTTACGGTAACAGAGAAACCCAGGATCCCAGATGTATTTCTTGTGGAAGGATAGACCTGGTAGCTAAAACCAAAAGAGAAGAATAACATTCCACACACAAGAGTCATTTCATTTCAACCATTAACAAGTGCTAACCAATATATAGCAGCTTTCCATCAAAATCTGCTCTCCCATATGTACACTTAAAATGTGTGGAAGGAATACTTTGTGGATTGTTGGACTGCAGGCATTAGAATTCCTACTTTATTTTTAATGCATTGCTACTGCTCCATTTGCCAAAGAGGAAGAAGGCAACAACAACAACAACACCTTATTTATGTGCTTTGAATGCGATTTTCCTATTTCTTGGCAGGGGATTGGAGTGGATGGCCCACAAGGTCTCTCCCTGCTCTACAATTCTATTTTATGATCCCACCCTATCTCCCCATATCTCTCAGGGTATTTCAACTATGGCTTCATCTATATGGATTGGAATCTGGTTGGCACCTCTATCTATTGCAGTGATTGGCGAAGTTTTTTTTTTTTTTGAAGCACAACTCATAGAATTCAGGGACTATATTTCAAACATCATCAACTTTGGCAAGCTCTGCTTTATTCCAAACTCTATATCATTGCTGGCTAATCCCTTCTAGTTATTTCCAATGTTAGGGTTTTTGAACTGTGTGAATTATCTTGTAATGTCTTTCCTTGTACTAGGAACTGGAGGATTTCAAGCTTGTATGCAGGGACAATGCTTAATTTCAATAATATTTGAAAGAAATGTCAAAAATGTCTGATTAGGAGAATCCCAATGTGTGAGAATTATTCATATTATTCAAATAATACATATGGAGCCTTTTGCACAGAAAAAGGCATTTTATGTGAAGAAAATAACATTTCTAGGCTAAAGCTGGACTGCAATTTCCAAAAACTGTTATTGAACTATTCTGGCCAAAAATGTATGTCAGGGTTTTTGTTGCTTAGAGAATAACATATTCTGTGCAGAATTTCTTTTCTTTTCTGCACAGTTAACTTGTTTCAGCCTGGAGATGTTATTTTCTCCACATAAATGTCATTTTCTGTGCAAAAGACCCCATATGCATTATTTTAAATGTGTATTTGAGAGTTCCCATGCGGTCTAGTTCCATCAGTGATGGAAGAAATGTTTGAAATTCCTTTTAATACCTGTTCTCCTATCCACATCCCATTATGAATGCATGCTCTTCACATACAATTCATTTGCACATTAAAGCTAGGTGATGGTGGGGATATTTTTCTGTCAAGGGCACTACTGAATTAGAGTTAATTCTGGTTGTTGGTGTGGCCGGAACCAAAAAAAATTATCTTTCCTATCATTTTCTTCCACATCTCTTTCTAATTCTACCATCTCTCTTTCTTTCTCTTCCTTTCCTCCTCCTTACCTGGGGCAGGGACAGCTTGATTTTGTTTGAGGTCTGAAATGCTTGTTTATAGAGGATTTTTGAAATTAGTCTAAAGGCCATATGTAACCACAAGACCACAATTAGCCCACCACAATTGTGGGATGAATGGCATCCTCTCTTAGTTGAATCCATCTGTATTGTACAGTTTAATCTTTTCTTCAATTTAGAAGGGTTTTTTATCCTCTCCAGATTCATTTTGGTGAGGAAAGCAAGGATCCTAGTATAGAAATTATTAAATGAACAACATACCAAAGGCTTCATGTATATAATGAAGCATTTACTGAAAAGACTTTCTGAAGATTGCCAACTCACCCCAAGGTATTCTTGGTTCTCAGGAAGTCAAAGCATGGCTCTTCCATGTGCATCTGAAATCAGTATGATTTCTAGGTGAACATTACACACTCAAACAATGCATACTCAAAAGGCAATGGACTGGATCCTGATTTTTTAAATATTTAGAGTTGAGACATTGAAATCAACTGGACTTCAGTCCCAACTTACTAAATTCCTACTTAATTTATGATGAAATGTGGATTTTCATGGAACTTACTTTCACTAAAAGATCTACAATTTACAATTTACAGCTCAGATACCAAGCACTTTTTTTACTTTGCGAGTGATGACAATAACAATTAACAAATTTGTTTAGTTTGTTATTTATCTGAAAAGTCTCATCATTATCACCAAAGTCTCATTTCCTTCAGACTTCAGAATATATGAAGGATGGGTATAGTTGGCCATGGTCTTATATCTGTCTTTGAAGGCCTTCTCCTCACTAAAGATGCCACTAGACAATCCTTTTATTAGCTTGAAAATAAAGTTGAATTTCCTTTCTAAGGTCTGAAGTCTCTAGGAGAAAGAATTTAATATTTAAATAAGTTCAAATCTTAACATCTGTTGTGTTAACACTTTCTCTGTTTAGCATGTTTAACATCTTCTCCAGGTTCATATTTTTTCAGTCAAAACTGACTTCTCATGACTTCTGGATTTTTTCTTTTGTTTTGTTTTTTTCAGTCCATGAAGGACTTTAAAATCACCCCCAAAAGACATTAAAAAAGAACAAAAGGGACAAAGAAGGGAGAAACAAATTGAAGCACCCATCCCTAATGTTAGAAATCCTCAAAATGTACCACGAGTAATTCGGTGAGTGCATAGTCTCTTAAATTCTTAGCACCAGTCTAAAAAACAAAACAGAATAGAATCAGTAACATGTTTCTCTATAAATATAAGACCTTAATTCAAGTACCAAAGTTTGTGATTAATTTAAAGAGAGAAGAAAATGTAAGTGATTCCTAGTTGGTGTCATTGTGTGCCTTGAAGTTCTGCTGACTTAGGTGACCCCGTCATGGGTTTCTCTTGGCAAGATGTTTTCAGAAGGACTTTGTCTTCCTCTGAGTCTGAGAATATGTGATTTGCCCAAGGACAGACACCCAAAGGTTCATGCTCTATTTGCTAGACTCAAATACTATTGAGTCTAGCAAATAGACTCAAATACTAAATACTGTTCAAACCACTACATCATGCATATTCCACAGTGGTTTCCCAACTTTCTCCTTTTAGGGTGTCCCTTGCTACATTGACTTTTTTCTTTGCTAAGGACTAAGGTGCACCTACATTGTAGAATTAATGCAGTTTAACACCACTTTATCTGCCATGACTCAATGCTATGGAATCATGGGAGTTGGGTGAGGCAAACCAGCCCTCTTTGACAGAGGAGGCTAAATGCTTTTTAAAAATTCAGCCATGTTTCCACAGCAATGAACCTTAGCAGTTAAAGTGGAATATATAGAATTCTAGAAAACTTTAATGCATTAAGTGGCTCACCAAACTATAAATTCTAGAATTCCATAGAATGAAGGCATGAATGTTAAAAAGACACCAGAAAGTGATTTATTATGTATTATATTTAGATTCTTCCATAGCACAGAGTACTCTGACATGGGTTTTTCTTTGCTTGATAACCTGTGCTTTTGCTTGTATCCTTCTGGTTCAATATGAGGAGGAATTACTGATAGTGATAAAACAGCTTAATTGACATCTAACGCCTCTGGTGTTATATTCTTTTTAGAGAGAAATTCCTAGTAACCATCTGAAGAAGGCTAGGTTTTCAGTAACACTGCTTGAAAATGTCCTTTTCAAGGCTTTCTCTGTGGATTTTGTTTTTTTGGCAAAATGCACTATAATTTATTCAAGCACAAACTTGAATGTTCAGACATGGGACTTATACAGTTTGCTAGGCTGGATCTACACTGTCCTTATCTGCTTTGAACTAGATTATATGCATCTACACTGCCAGATAATCTGGAATAAGAAGACAATCTGGGATCAGATCCTGGGATATAGGACAGTGTAGATCCAGCCCTAGTCTCATTTAAAAGAAACCCTTTCTTTGATTACTGAATCACCTGCCAACATTTATATAAATCCAATTTCTCTGGATGTCTAACAACTGGCTTTAGTTCACAATGTTTTAAAGTTGTGCAGTATATCAACTTGTTTCAGGAATTACTGAGATTTAAGATCATAACACAATAAGGAGAAATTTCAATTAGTGGGAAAAGTGACTGCAAATCCCAAGAGAACTCGATCCTATCTATATTACCTGGTAATAGACAGTGACATCAGAGTTTGGGTCTCCTTTGTGAAGGGATTTTACTTTACACAGAACGTGAGTATTTGGCAGTTCTATTACCCGGAACTGGATAGGACATGGATGTATTAGCGGAAGAAAACGTAGTTTTCTGAAATGAGAATTGGAAGAATAGAGAAGGAGGAAGCAAAACAGCGGCTATTTATTTAAATTGAAAAAAGATTTATATATATATATTCACATTCTTACAAATGCCATTATATGACTAAATTTTAGATAATTCCTGAGATATTAGATTTGGTCATGTGACTATACCCAATGAGTGAGTATGCAATCTGCAACATTGGGGTTTACCCATAATGCAGAAAGGAGAAGGGAGTTGCTAAGCTTCCTTGATTTAGGATGTCATCACATTATCTTTGGGAAGCACCCACAGATTTGCCATGGTGCCTGGTGAATCCCCCCACTGTTGCTTGGCTTCAGGACCTCAATGTGATGAGGTCCCTAGTAATATTAAATTATACCAAATCATGGTTTGGTATAACTTGCAATAACTGCTTTTATGTTTTATCCCAGCTAAGCACTTGCAAGAGAAATATATGTTAACAAAATCTAGAATGCCAATTGCAGTTTTAATGTAGTAAGAGACAAATAAAAAGTGTGGGTGCTTTTTTAAAAAAAAGAATTGGGTAAAGGGGAAGGCACAAGGACTTTTTTTCTTAAGACTGAAAATCAAACCATGGTACTCACTGAGCAATATAGTTCATAAACTCCTTTGATTCCTAGAAAATACAAGGTACAAGATATTTTCTATTAGGTGAATTGTATCACTTTCAAGTTCATACACAATGCAAGTGTCACCAAGGAGTGGGTTTCTTTTTTGTGCTATAAGAATTAACAGAGATGAACTGTAGCTACATTTGTGCCTTCAGTGAAAATGGACTTCATGTTTGAGCAACTCAGCTTTCTACTCACTTGAGCTGTAAAATTTCCTTGGACAAGTCCTTCTACCCACAGCTGTGTCTTGAAAGCTTTCACAAATTCCAGAAAAGATTCTAAGGAAATGCCGTTAGTAATAGTCTGATATTTCTCTGTTAAGGACCATCTGCCATGCTCCAGTATTGTGAGTCGCAGATCTCTGCAAACCCAGGGAAACAAAGCATTACAACATACACATTCATATACAAATAAAAACAGACATCTATTATTTTATGCATTAATTAAAATATGTATATCCCACACTCTAAAGATCTCCAGGAAATGAGCAATAAAACCAGCAGTGTAAATAATAAAATGATTTTGCCAACATTTTAAAGAGTTAAAAAAAATCAAAGCTATGCCTCACATATGGATGTGCATAAACTAGTTCAGCTCCAAAAACTTTAGTTTTTACTTGGTGTCAGAGTGACAGCAATGTAAGTTACCACTGGGACCTCCAAGGAAAGATATTGTTAAAATGGGGCCATAGGAAAGAAGGCCTTCTTTCATTTCTTGTGATTGTCTATTGTTCTGACCAATGGTACAAAGAGGAGAACCTCTAGAGTGGACATCAGACCATGACCAGGCATATGCAAGGATATTTGAGGCACTTCTTCAAACATCAAGCATTCAACATTTAGCATTTGAAATGCCATTATGAGGAGCACCTTAAATTGAGACCAGATTTATGTTAGCAGCTTCACTTTTTGTTTTGCTAGCTTGACATTAGAGGAAAAAAAAACCCAGGTTATATAAATAAGATTCATTCATGTGTTACTGATATATAGGTGAATCACATGATGAATTAGAAGGAAACTGAACTCTTATGAATATATCTTTATAGATTTAAAGCAACCAGTACCAATGAGACCAAGAACACATTGTTAGTTACGCTATGCAGTCACAACCTCATCACAAAGGCCCATGGATTTGCCACACATTGAGAGCTTCCACCAGCAGGTGTGGAGAAGCTGTTGCTCCACACCCCAGACTGTGTGACTTGCCTTTTCCCCATCCCATGGGGGGAAGCATCACTGCCTGGCTCACCCCCCCCCCCCATTGCTGATAAGGCCACACGGGAAGGCTGCTTGCACTCCCTTTTCTGGATGGAACCCAACTGTAAGGGGAGAACAAATGACATAGGACAAGCCAAGTAGCCCATCTGATGAGGTCATAAAATGCCCTAAGGTAAGGATGGAAAAATTCAGGCCCTACTCTTGTAGGACCAAATTTTGTTCTATGGAAATAATCAGAAGGCCACAACTGCTTCCCATGTACATAATTGTTTTGTGGCTTCACAGCTTTTATATTATTAAGGTTAAAATACCCTGTAAAGCTTACTTACTGGAAGTTTCTTTGGACCAGGATGGAAATTATGCAGGTAATGTTGGACTGTAGCTCTCATTATGCATCAGCTTTGGGCATTAATGGCTAGGATAACTTGGAATTGCAATTTGATATTTGGCAAGCAGAGCTGATATTTTAATTTTAACATTCCTAATATCAGTGTTTCAATTCCAAACTGACAGGTATTCTGGTCCCTGTAGGCAATACACTGCAACCTTAGAGTAGTTGTAGAAAACCATGTGAGTTCAAATCTGAAAGCTATTTCTGTATCTAGTCATCTGATTGACCTGGTAAGTCAATACTTGTTCCCTGTTCCTTTCTACAGCCTACTGATAGTGTCAATATCAAGCATAGAGTGTGAATGATCACCCTGACTATTTCCATCAATTGAATACATTACTTTTCAGGGTTGGTCACACATTCAGCTTCAAGTTGGCAAGTACAGTAGAGTCTTGCTTATCCAACATTTATGTTGGATAAGAGAAAATGTTGAATAATAAGAAGGGATTAAGGAAAAACGTATTAAACATCAAATTATGTTATAATTTTACAAATTAAGCACCAAAACATCATGTTTTACAACAAATTAACAAAAAAAGCAGTTCAAAACATGGTACTGTTATGTAGTAATTACTGTATTTACAAATTTAACACCAAAACATCGCAATCTATTGAAACAGCAATGGATCTGGGCAGGAGGCAGACTAAGTTGGATAATACAGAACATTGGATAAGCGAGACTCCACTGTACTGAGTACTGAAATGATGAACGTTCAATTCTTATGCATGTATATATGAACTCCACACTGGTGCTCCAAGTTACTGCATTTGCTAAGATTTACAGGTTTTTTTTTAATTTAAGGATGATTTTACAAAACTATATATGTAGATCTAAACCAACGGAAACAGATTTTGTACACCATGATACCGTAAAAATTGTGATATAAGCAATCATGCTGCATTACTCCGAGCAGTCTCCAAATTATGGACAATCACTTTGATTCTTCCCTCCATGAAATCAGCCTCCTACCAAGGTGATGTTAGGATTTTTTCTGAATGCAAGTTTCTCTAGCAAAGTCAATTTATTCCACTGAGCTCTAACATTGTTGGAATGTTCACAAATCTTCCCAAAGATACTCACTTTGACAGTGTATCTGTTTTGATGAGATAGTTAAAATATGTTTTTTTAACATGCTCAATTATCATCTGGAAAGCTGAAGGTGTGATACTGAGATCAGCCAAGTGATCAATGACAAGTTGAAAAAGCAGCTGAGGAAAAAATGAAAAATGTTGGCAATGAGACCATTTTGGCCAAAAAAAGACTAACATACACATCAGCATGCAATTTTGTCTAATATATAATGTAGCACTTTGCATTATGCATCATGTACTTCCAAACATCCTGCCACAACTATGATGTCAAGATCTGAGTGGACATAGCACTTCCTTCTGAAAATCCTTAGGGAATTAATCACATCAGAGTTCCATTCGTAATGTTTCTGATTCCACCCCCAAGAAATTGCTTGCTATCTGGTACAACTATTGTACTAAATAGTAGGCACAGCCAAATGTTATTGTTTTTGGTCACACTCATGTAACTTGTGCTACCAGTTCCACAGCAACAGCTATCCTGTAAAACAGTAGTTATTAACCTGTGGGCCACAGACCACCAGTGGGCCGCAAGGAGGAAAATCGGGTCCGCGAGTCTCCTACGTCTTTATTTATTTTATTTTATTTCTGTTCCTTTTGCACCACCTTCCACTTCTTCCCTGTCACTGGCTGTGGCATACGTTCTGTACCAGAGACTAGAGATGATGTGGTCTATCCAATGCAATTTTCTGAATCAGCACACCAAAGCAAATCTAAAATTAACCAAACACTGTTTCGTAACCAATGTTGGAGAATGGTCCCTGCTCAAAGTGGTCCCTGGTCAAGTAGCCCATGGTCAAAGGGGTCCCTGGTCAAGTGGTTCCTGGTCAAAAATAGTTGGGAGCCACTGCTGTAAAATCACTCTTACAGCCTCATCACACCAGAGCTTGGATGCACTTTAAATCCAGTTTCTGTCTCCTGCAGAATTCTGGGGTTTGTAGTTTAGTGAGGCCCAGGACCTGCCTGGCTGAACAGTTTAAAGGCCTCTCCCTAGATTACAAGCTTCAGAATTCTGCACGAGGCTGAAACTGGATCTAAAATGGATCCATGCTCTAGTGTGATGAGGTCCCTAGATTAAGTGAACCTGAAAGAATGCCTGGAATGTGTATATGTCATAGCCTTTTTCATCTCATTATTCCATAGTGAGACCAAGCCTTTGACAGAATCTCCAGCTTTTCAGCTAGGAAAATCACATAAAACACTTCAGGAATACTTTGGATTCACCAAAATACCAGGAATAGACTCCTTTAATTGGAATTTAAATTTCAAAAAGAATATTAAATCTAAACTGCAACAGAAAATGATATGTCTACAACAATGCATTCACTAGTCACCCCCACTTCCCATCCTAGACCATCCCCATACACTCAGTAGCAAAAGTCAAATATTGGATATAATAAGTCACATGTGTTAGACCAGTAAGAAATAAAAATCTCATTATGACATGCCTAATTATTGGGATGGTCATTGTTTATGTTTATTAAGAAATATAGGATACTCACAGGTAACTTATGGTTGAAACCTTTCACTCGTATGGTGAGGCCATGCTCTTTAGCTAGAACTTTTTGTTCCAACTGAGCAACATCTGCTTCATATGCTGATTCAGCAAGGTTGTGGGTGAGAATGTTTACAAAAACATCAAAAAGGACTACACTGGAAGGGGAACAATATAACAAATACAACATGGTGAATAGAGTTGTCTTTGCTCAGAGAATAGATAAAATGGGCATATTAATGTTCTTGCACTTGAAAGAAATCATGCTTTAGAGCAGTGGTCCTCCAGGTGTTTTGGACTTCAACTTCCAGAAACCCCAGCCATCTTAGCAGCTATTGGGAATTGTGAGAGTTGAAGTCTAAAGCACCTGGAGGGTTGCTTTAGATCTTCATCTCACCACATGCTGCAACCATACCCTCGTATATTTCCATTATGTAAATTTGGTTGTGAATTCAGTTAGACAGTGATGCCAATCAACAGAAGGAGTGTGTAGCAAAATCAACACATCTTTAATGTGGAAATTTTACACTATATATATAGTCCTGACATAAGATGGCAACCCTAGTCTACTACTTAATATAGGCCACAAGATCTATATGCTGCAAGCATTGTATTTGCCCACAGATAAAGAAATTCATTAATCTGACTAAAACATTAAAATGATACAAAAACTTTAAAAAGAATACATACTTCAGTGCAGACTGTTGTATCAATGGAGACACCAGAAAGAAACAGATAAATGCTGAAGGAAAAAAATTGAAGTGGAGAAATGGAAGAATCAAAATTGCACAGAGTGTTTCTTTTCACAGACTGTTTTTAAGTACTAACTAAAGTATCAGTTGTGTGGTTGTTTAACCTCATGAGATTTAGCCATTAACTACCCACAAGAAAACATTTAGGGTTGTTAGGGATTGACCAGACTCCATTCCAAGTCATAGCATTAACTGTACTGTAAGCACTCCAGAACTTAAAAGACCACTTTGTTCAATATCAAGATCAGAAAAAGAAACTCTGCATGTGGTGACTTATAGGTGGGATCCAAGGCTGTAGCGGTGGGGGGGGGGGGGGGCATTAAGGGTTCAACCCCCCTCCCCCCAAAATGTTTCAGGTTAAAAAAAATCTGGTTTACTCATGAAGCAAACATTACATTGACTTTATTAACTTTATATAAAATATAGAATGAAACATACTATTTAAATTATTTTCTGTTTTGGAACTACTCTTCATGATTCAATATTTTTTTCAACCCCCCCCCCCCCCCATTTTTTTCTGGCTATAGCACTGGTGAGATCACTTCATTTATGGAACCCACTTTTCTCAGAGATTTGGTTTACTCCCTGGGCACCCATCTTCCAGGAACTTGTAGAAATATTTGTTGTTGTTGTTTTTGTTGTTATATTTATACCCTGCTTTATGTCTCCTGCAGGAGATTCCAAGTGGTTGTGAGGTCTCACAACCTCTGAGAATGCCTGCCATAGATGCAGGCAAAGCATCAGGAGAAAATGCTTCTAGAACATGGCCATATAGCCCGAAAAACCTACAACGACCAAAGTCACTCTCTCTTAGCCTCAGAGGAACCTCTTATGTATGAATAAATCATGCAAAGAAAACCTTGTGATAAGTTTGCTATATATCAGAAATAACTTGAAGGCACACAATAATATTAGCCACTCTGAGCTGTTATGAGAAAGAGTGAACTGAATTAACAACTACAACATACAGTTTTTTTCAAAGTGTACATTGGTAGGAATCTACTAACAGGGATACCTCTCTGAAGTATTAACTGATTTTCGTAGTAATCCAAAATACCATGAAGCCTTTCAGCAAAATTTAGTTTGTTCTCTTTCATGCTTGTACGTACAAGTGTTGCCTTATACACTTTCTATTGGGTTTTACCTTTGGGGACACTAAATTTGTTGTCTTCCTTGTACCACAGACAGCCTTGTTGTGTATTCAATATCTTTTGGGGATATTCAGTGGCCTTCTTGCTGAATGGCTTTACAGAGAAATCTGTGGCTAACATAGGAAATAAGAAACACCAGTTACTGGACAAGAAGCCCAGTTCTCAATGAGAATTCCAATGTCTCCCCAATAGAAGTGATTCTGATTTATTCTGAAGGGAGCCAATTTACTGACAATCAGTTCTGCTTCATAGCATCTCTGTTTTATGTTATGGTTAACACAGATAACTGAAATTATGTTCTACATTTGTCTTTAAAAGGATTACTATCATGCCATAAGAATCACTGGCATTCTACCCAAACCAGTGTACACTACAGCTCATTTGTGTTCAAATAATAACAACAGCAGCATAATACAACAAAGTATTAAGTGTGAATGCATATAATAAAATATATAAATGAAATCACACCAATATAGAAAACATACACCAGACACATATATATTTAACACATAGCAGCAATAGAATGTAAATCAAAACTCATGATTGAAAGTTGACTCGATAGACCTGCTGGAATAGATGGTTCTTCAACTAGGTCTTACATTTCAATAGCAGTCAGAGCTCTTCTGGCAGGTCATTCCACAGTCTTTGGGTGGCACATGAAAGGGTCCTCTGGGTGACAATCACCAGTTGGGTTCTGGCTGGTTGGAGTAAATGTCCCCCAGAGTACCTCAGGGTCCTAAAGGGCAGATTGTACTGGGGACCCAAAGCATGTAGGAATTTAAAGGTCAAAACCAACACTTTGTGCTTTACCCAGAACCTAATTATCAGCCAGTTGAGTGACTTAAATATGGATGAAATATACTCACTCCTGGATGATCCTGTAAGTAGTATGGCTGCCATGTTTTGAACTAATTGGAGTTTCCCAAATTGGTAATGTTGAGACTCAGCGTCCTGGCACCGTATCTACTACTGGTTGCAGGAGAAGGAGAAGTGAGGCTGAAGCGCATTCGGGATATCTTTTTGGCTCCGACTGACACAGAAGACTTTGCAGGGTTCGGCCCTGAGGACGCAGTAGAGTCAGATTACCGGGGAGTAAAGCGGGTGGCCAGTGAGTCTGGCAGTGATAGTGATACTCTGTCCAAAAGACTTAAAGACACAGCAGGCGTTTCCAGTTCTAGTGAGGATGAAATGGAGGAGGAACTAGATTGGACTCTGGTTCAGAACATTAGAGACATATGTGCTCAACCTACATCCAGCGAGGAATTCGAAGGGTTCCAGGATGCTTGGGAGGAGGGTTCTTCTTGGCAGGATCAGGCCCTGGAACAAAGATGGCAACATTGGAGGGACCAACAGGATGCAGCTGCAGGACATGAGTCAGACTCAGATGCGAGCGATGAAGCTCCATCAAGTGATAGCAGTGATGCATAAATTGAGCATGTTGGGAGATGTTACTTTGCAGAAGACAAAATGTTGCTTATGTGCTTTGTGCCTGCCTAATTCTTGTTTGAGTTTCCTGGTATCCAGCGTTCCTGCCTTGCATATCCAGTTTTTCTGCCTTGCATATCCAGTTTTCCTGCCTTGCATATCTGGACCTTGGAATCATCTTTCGTGAGTGTCTTTATCGTGCTTTCGACCCTGGAATCATCTTGGACCACGCCTCTGCTTATTGGACCTCATTTCTGTTTAGAACTCTGTTGCATTAAGAGACTATTTTGAGTTAGTGTTTGCTAAACGCTTCTGTTTGCTTCTGTTTACTTCTGTTTCCTTTTCGGCTGAGCTCAAGCCTGGAAGATCCAGATTACTGACTGTTTGTTTACCTGCCTGAAGGTTCCTTTGAGTTGCTAATTTTCACTGCTGTTAAGTGCCTCTTTTGTTGTACCTCATTAAAGACTATTATTAGCATTTCAATTGCTGTGAAAGACATTATCTGTGCTCTAAGTCTCAACAGGTAAAGAGATAACCCAATGTGAAGCATTTGAACATGGTGTTATATAGTTTAACAAACATAATATTCAGTCACAGAAACTCCTCTTATCATATTACTGACCTATGTATTTATTTTCCCCTGGGAGGTGAAACTCTGGATTTAATTCGAAATCAGTGGCCCACAGTTTTCTCCAGTATTCATCAATGTCTGTGAATATACAACATATTTGATAATTTTGCCAGCACTATATGTTTAATTCAGGGAAACAAATAGCAGCAGTCAGTGTGACTCAACTGCCATCTCACTACATTGTATCAAAGTTGGACTCAAATTCTAGTCAACTAAAATGTTTTAGGTATCAGATTGATTCTAGGATTCTTCTAAAGCCCAAGAACTGCCCCTTATGTCGTGGGACACTAGTTCAATCTCTTACTAGCATAGTGAAACTGAGAAATGAGGAAGCAACTAGTTTTTTTTCTGGTCGTGTCAGGAGCGATTTGAGAAACTGCAAGTCACTTCTGGTGTGAGAGAATTGGCCGTCTGCAAGGACGTTGCCCAGGGGATGCCCGGATGAATTGATGTTTTTATCATCCTTGTGGGAGGCTTCTCTCATGTCCCTGCATGAGGAGCTGGAGCTGACAGAGGGAGCTCATCCACCTCTCCCCGGATTTGACTAGTAATTTATATTGAATTGGGGCTTAGATAGCCTCTCAAATGACCATTGTTACAACTTTCCCTACCCTATTTGTCTTAATAGACCAGGAGTTCCAGAAGCATATTTTAATATTATTGTAAATACTTTAAATTGTACCTGATACACCGTATCTTGTCCCAAACCATTTTTCTTTCAAGTGACACATCCCCTCATGGGCAGGAGATAAGAAAAAGATGTTTACTTTTTGAGGCAAGAGATGATTGAGGACATCAGCAATGACCTATAAGTATAAAAGAACATAATTGCTCACTTTAAGTTGTCTGAGAAGAGGCTTGTCCTCTCATTGGCTTGGACAACCCATGCTTCTTCTCAGCCCATTATAGAGAACCACAGTTGGAGCCCAGCCATTATAGAACATTTATATATATTGATTGCTGCTTCAGAATCCTGGTTGCAATTCAGAAGTGTGTAATAAAGGACTGTGAAATAGTCAGGTAGTCTAGACTTTTCTGTTCACCAAATTTTAAGAAGTGTGAACAGTGAATATATCTGCATTCAATACACATACTGATTAAGTAAATGCACTTCATTTTCATATCAAAATGTGAACTAAACAACATTGTTTCCCATCCCTACACCAAACCAAGAACATTTGAATTTATTCTATGGCTATTTCCAAAAAAGTTCAGGATACAATAAAAAAATCTAGATGAAGATTGGAATACATTATGCAGAATAGCTTCTATGCTTTGCTGAAGAATGAATAGAATGGATTGGTTTTTGTATTCGTTATTTTCCCCAAATAGAAATGGGATTCACTTACTTCCGGTTTATACTCAGTCAGTAGCTGATCTCCTATCAGTAGGTCTTCCTTCTGAAATATGTGCATATTCTCAGAGATGTTTTCTACATACTCAAGGGGATCAGACTGTGGATGAGCAATGTTTGAAAAATCAAAGGGCTAGGATTTTTTAGACATT